TGACCAGGCCCACAGGGGAGGGTCAGGATTTGGGGGAGCCGCTGGCACTGCCCGCGGGGGAGGGTCAGGATTTGGGGGAGCCGCTGGCACTGCCCGCGGGGGAGGGTCAGGATTTGGGGGAGCCGCTGGCACTGCCCGTGGGGGAGGGTCAGGGTTTGGGTGTCCCCTGGTAGTGCCCGCGGGTCACCGGGTGATGTGGGACCGCACCTGATGATGCCTGGGTCCTTCCTCCGGCGCCCTGCCGGCCGGTGCCACTCCTCGACCACCAGCACGGACTGCCGGTTGGCTAGGAGGCCGCAGAGGAAAAGGGCGACGGGGGGTGTGAGCAGCAGGCCCAGGCCGTAGAGGGCGTTGTAGCGCACCAGGCAGGGACAGTTGAAGTCGAAGGAGGAGTACAGCTTGACTGTGACTGCGGCCAGCAGCAGGCAGATGCCGTTCATCACCGACTCAGAGCTGGACTGGAAGTGCTGGAAGAGCATGCGGAACTTATCCATGGCTCCTGCCCGGTGGATGAGCGGCCGTGGATGAGGGGCAGTGAGGCTTCAGCTGCCTTCCTGGCCAATGCCAAGCCACTCTGGGGGTGAGTACAGGCCTACAGGAGATTCTTTTCTTTCAAGGGCCTGGGAGACCAGGAAGAGGTGGTGTTCAGCTCTCAGCCCAACCTCCAAGGATATAGGGTAGAGGCAGGCTCTCTCCGAAAGGGCTCCCCTGCCCAGACCAATTGTCCTCCAGCACCACTCCCCTCCTCCCTGGGGGAATGAGTCACTGCGCTGTGACCAGCCAACCCAAAGCACTCTAGGCAAATGCGCCCTGCCCTGTCTCTCCATCCCTCCCCGCTTCTCGCCCCAGCCCATTCTCTCCTCTCTTTGGGGTTTGGATACTGAAACCTGACAGCTGGCGGGGCTTCCCATAGGGGACAGGCAAATTCTGGGTGTGGTAAGGCCAAGATGCTGATGGAGCCAATTTTATTTTCTTGGGCAGAATTATGACTCGACTCAGCTAAGCCCAGGGGAGAGTTCAGGTTGGCTTTCAAGCTGGGAGGAATCCTCCCAGGAGGGGCACCTTAAGGCTTCAAGGCTTTCTGAAAAAGAAGACCCTTGAGAAGAGTTTAAACCATGTTTCCGTGTTTGCCAATGAAAGGCATTATGGAAGGGGAAGGCCCTCCAGGCAGAGGATACCAATAGGCAAAGATGCGGCGGTGAGAAGCAGCCTGCTGTGGCCAGCAGTTTCGGGGTGCTGGAATGCAGGTCCAGGCTAGATGGAGCAGGGCTCAGTGGGGTCAAGGCCATACCAGTCCCTGAGGTTTTCCCTTTAGCCCCCGTAACTTGCATTCAAGGCCCTCCTAACTGTATCCAGAGGTGTCTTCCCACCTCCACACCTTTGCTGACACCGTCCTTCCCACTGAAAACCCAGGTCCCTTCCTCCCACCTGTTCTTCAAGAGGCAACCTTGTCACCAAGCCATCCCTGGTGACCTCAGCTTTGTGGGATCCTCGATGTCCCATTTGGCCCTGGGACAGGCCATCTCGGCCTGTTAGTAATCTTTCCTAGGTGTGGGAGTTAGATCTCCCATCTCGGACAGGGTCCTGGACCTGCACCTTATTGTTCTCTGCAGCATCCAGGGCTGGGGGTGGGTGAGGTATCCAGACCCCAACTACTCAGGCTTTTCCTCAGTCTTCATCCCTCTGGCTCCCTTGCTGCCAGGCTAGGGCCTCCCCTGAGATAAGGAAAACCTCAGGGTCTGGTACGGCCTTGACCCCACTGAACCCTGCTCCATCTGGCCTGGCCGTGCTGGCATCCTAGACTCTGAGTGATGGCCTTAGTTGACCTCATACATCAACACTGTTGTTCTTTCCTCGGAAGCTGGGTCCTCAGGGTCATGAACGTAGCTTCCTGCCAACCCTCTGGTGCATGGGAGGAAAGTGTCCTGAATCCTCCCCATCCTCTAACTGGCCATCTCCATAGAGCTCGCCAGGACGACTGCCACTGCCCTGACCACCCTTGTTTCCAAATTTTCAAACGACTTTTAGAAAATGGAAATATCTCCAATTTTTCCGGATTAAACACAGAATTACGAAAAACTTAAAAATAGAGTACATGAAAATGTCCCCCTCACAGCAATTCCCTAGAACTTTCCCTGTCACTGCAAGGGTGTGTGGCCTTCCAGATTTTTTCAGGTCCCACAAGGACACATGCTAGCTGGCCTGCCTGGAGTTCCTTGGGGGAACTGCTAAGCACTGTTAATTAAACACTAAGTGTACACGGGAGGGATGGCTTGGCTGGCCTGTGTGATCTTCCATCTGAGCGACGTCTGTTCCTTCTCTTCACCCTCGTGACACAGGTCTCTCACTGTTTCTTGGTTTTAGCTTCTCCGAAGGATGACAGCCCAGCTGTTGGAGGGACCCCTGGGACCTGCAAAATGAATTTCGGGTAAGCCACTTTGCCTGTATTTTAAGTCAAACCATCCCAAATATGTCTTGCAAATGTCCTATCTGTGCAGTCTATACCTCTGATGAGGTAACAGCAGACAGAAATCTGGCTTTTATGTATTATTTGTATTTTACCTAATTAGTGTGGGTCCTATGAGACAGGATTACCTGCGTGAGGGAAAATGGAGAGGGAGCCAGAGAAGGCCAGGGGAGCCATCAGAGGCACGCAAGTGTGAGTGCGGGAAGGAGAGGACGGGCCATTTTGGAGAAACCCTTAAGCCCATTCATTCTCCTGGGGTCCTAGTGCAGCGGAGAACTACCACCACATTCTTCAGGAGAGGCTGAGCGTGATGCAGCGGTCACACAGCCTGGTAGGGACAGAGCCAGGAAGGTAGCTGGGATCCTTCTCTGGCTCCAACCTTAGTCACCCTCTGACCTATTGACAGGAAAGGAAACTGTCTTGGCTCAAGGCCATGCTTTTCAACCTGAGCACCCCTCTCGCTCATTCTAGTCTCAAGGAGGGGAAGGTGAACTAAAGGCCCCCAGCCTCCTTTTCTAGGGAGTCTCCAGAAAAGAACAAACACTGCTTTTTGGAGAACACTACAGGAAATTGGGACAAGGTCTCCCAGGCCAGCTTGTGCATAGCTCCAACCTCTGACAGGTGAGACAGAGCTTTCAGGTCAGCCTGGGGCCTGGGGCCCCATAGGGAGTGGTTTGCTGTGTGACTGTACTGACCTTTGCTAGGTCTTTACTAAAGAAAAAAGCAAGAAATAAGCCCACCACAACTTAAAGAAATATTATCTCAGGGCGAGGGGTGGTTTCCCATTTAAAATTCTGTATTTTCTAAATTGTTTACTTTTATAACAATAATTTTTAAATTGCCCAATAAAAGTCATAAAATATTTTTAATGGAAAACTCAAAGGGATTAAGGAACAAAATAAAAGTGAAGGGAAAGGGGTTGTCACATTTTGTTGCTTGGAGTTCAGACCAGCTGAACCAGGAGAGGCAGAAACAGAGGAAAGAAAGGGAGAAAGACTTATTTTACTTGTGCGCAAGCGCGTAAGCATATACCAAAATATATACCAAAAGATAGTAACTTGTAGATCTGCTGTGTGATAATATCTTAAACCAGAGTTTCTCAAACTCCTACCCCACCCCAGGGGTTTGCAGTTATGTTCTTCAGGGTCTTCTAATTCTGGGGACATTTTTTAAATTCGCATTTCATTTTAATGATGACTTAAATCTTTTCAGCACTTTTAAACTTGTATGAACTTGCAATCAGAAGATTTTTATAGAATAAGCCTTGAGTTTCTTTTTTTTTCTTCTATAATTGGGGTCTCACAGTTATATTTTTAGAGGTCTTCTAGATTTTTTTCCCTTTAAAAGGAATCTGTGTGTTATTTGAGAACAATGACTTCACCATTCTTGGAGTTCCTGTGACTGAGAGGGCTTTTTAGGACTGGGTGCCCCCTACTGGAGAAACTCAGTGTATCTGATGTGTAAGTAGTGTGTGTGTGTGTATGGGGTGTCTGTGTACTTGTGGGTGCATGAGTGGACATGTGTGTGGTATGCATGTGTGCAGTGTTTATATAAGTGTGTGTATCTTTGAAATACAGGTGTGGTTTTGTCTCTTCTTTTTACATAGTAAGTATACTCTCCCCTGAGGTTTTTCTTTCTCTTCTTTTTCTTTCCAAAAGAGGACATTGGATGCGTGCTCCACTTCTCTCTTAGGACTGGGAGACTATTGTTCCCTCGTGCCTAGCAGAGCAGTGGTGCCCTCTCTGTCTCTGAGAGATCTGACTCTCTTCAACTCCGAAGACAGGGGCTTCTGTGGGTTCTGGGTGACAGGCTTCTGTGGTCTGTCTCTGGCAGGCCTGGGGGAAAACAATGTGACACTTATGCAGCCTCCACTCTGGTGACTATATAGAGCCATGTGACCCCTAAAGGACTGAAAAGTGGATGAAAATGAAAGGAGGGGCTATCTAACAAATGACATTGGAACAGCTGGCTAACCATTTGGGAAAATCTTTAACTGACTCTTTACCTCATTCTTTATACCAAAATATATTCCAAATGGCTCAAAGACATTAACATAGAAATTAAGGTCATAAAAATTCTACAAGAAAAAACATTTTATTTATAATCAGAGAAGGCCTTTGTGACGAGAACACAGAATTTAGTAGGTATGAAGAAGGCAGATAAAAAAGGTTTCATGACTTCCGTGGGCAAAATACCAATAAACAAGTAAAAATAACAAACTGGAAAAAGGCATTGCCACGCACATGCCACATGAAAGCCTATTTTCCCTAATTTTTAGAGGGATCAATGTAAGTCGATACAAAAGTTGAATAATCCTATAGAAAAAAATAGGCAAAGGATGTGAACTGGCTAGTCACAGAAAAAGAAAGACAAGTGATCAAAAATCCTGCAAACGTTCTAATCCTTATTCACAATTAAATACAATCTAAATCAGGTGCCTTTTAAAATTCACCAAGTTGTTAAAAACTAAAAGATTGATACTACCCAGTGTATTATCAATCTCCTTAAGAAGGCTTAGGGAAATATCTACTTTCATACACTGATGGTTAGAGTATAAATTTGTAGGGATTTTCTAGGACAATTTGGCAATATATTTAAAGCAAATATTTACATACACACGTCCTTTAACCTAACAATTACACAATTTAAAAAGCACAGTTTAGTACACTGTACATAGTATAATCCCTCCTAAGTAAAAATGATATAAACATGTAAAAATTTTGGTATTGTGCCTACAGTTTGATGGAGGGACACACAAGAAATGTGGACAGTTATCACCATTGGGTGGTTGGGGACGGGAACTTTTATTTTCTTCCGTTTTCTACCCTTCTGTGTGTTTGACTTTTCCAACAATGTATACATCTGAATTTTATTTTAAAAAGATCAACAAAGATTATCTGGGTAGTGGATTTATGAATTTAAAAAATACATTTCCATATATAATAGATAAATGTTATTTTAAAATAAGATTAAAATATTATGACTTCCACAAAATAAAATAACCAAATTCAACCCTAAACATTCTTCCATACTTAAATTTTTTATTTTGACCCCACAGGTTATAGAATGTGGAACAATTTCTTTGAGTCACAATACATTTCTAACTCCTTTTCTCAGAAGAGGAAACAGATAAGCCTGGCTTTTTAATATTTTCACCTTTTTGTTTGTTTGTTTTTACATGACTAACAAGCTATAAACATTAATT